ACTAAAAAAAAAAAGAGTTCCAGTTAATCCTTATCAGGGTGGTTTGTGGATATACCTGTGAGGGGTTGTCTTGATTGTCTCAGTTGATGTAGGAGAACGCAGTCGACTGTGGGCAGGGACATTTCCTTGGCAGGTGGCCCTGGGTGATCTAAGAAAGGTAGCTAATGAGGAGCTAACAAGGAGCAAGCCAGCAAGCAAACAGCATCCTCCACGGTTCCTACCGTACCTCATTGGCTGTGAATGAGTTCCTGGCGAGAAGTAATGCCACACAGAATAGCAAATAGGTTTGCCTTCAAGTCTCAGCCCTGAGTTCCTGCCTGCCTTCCCTTGGTGATGGGTCATGGCATGTAAGTTGAAGTAATTCCATTCCTCCCCAACTGGCTTCCAGTCACAATGTTTTTATCTCTGCAAGAGAACGAAACAGCAGTTGGCACTAGACTGGCTCTCCCCAGCAATCACTATGAAATGTTACCATGTCACAGGCAAAGCAACAAAGGACGTCCTTGTTATATTTTTCACAAATGACTTGTACAATTCTCTAATTGACCTAGAGATACTAACGGAGCTAGTATTTAACAAAATACCAAAATGTACACTGGCTGGATCAAGTGTCCATCATCGTCTTATGTTGCATTATCTTGCTGTTTCAGCAATACTGTCAGTGATTATGCATTGGCCACATGCCTAAATGCTGGTCCAACTCACCAATTTAAATACATATCATACTAATAGCATCATTGTGCAAAAGCCAAGGAGTATTGGGTGGTTGGTGTTTCCCTTCTTCTTGAAACACAAAGAGGCTCTTTCTGCTGCCCAGGATGCAGGTGTACCACCGGAAAATGCCTCACAAATTCCACCCATTCATTTGCCTGGGAAAAATAACTAATTTCTTAAGTTATAAAAATATACTTGCTCTTCCACATGAGTGGGTGGAGGGAAATGGGTAAAAATGTACTGTTCCCAGCTAACTTGTTTATGTAGTGAAACCATGAAAATGTTTCAAAATAAACTGTCTTAAATAATTAGGCTACGTTTTGCTCTGACCTGACAGTTGTATTTGTTGTTTTGTGCTGAACCTTCACCTGCACACATGAGAGCTAGGTGAAGCCCATTTCTGGGCATTTAGGTTTTGTCTTTTCAAAGTGTCACTTGTTACGGATACATGTCTAGAAAAAAATTCAGATACCTTCTTAAAATCTTGACTGCATGGAACTTGGAGAAATATTGTCTTTAAAAACCTGAGTGTGGAACGCTAATCATGCCACATGCCATCCCCCTGCCACATGGAGCACTAGACACGTGAAGTATCACAGAGCATCTCTTCAATGTCTGGACTTGACCTGGAACCTGCGGTGGGCTGCCACGACAAAATGGCTTCAGTTGCAGCATGGATGGTTCTTTTGAATCCAGATTAAATGGTTCTAAAATATGATCCTAACAAAAGGGCTATTTGTTTGGTATCATGGGCCATGAAAGAAAAGGCGTAATTAGCATTAACTGCTAATCTTCCTAGTCTCGCTGGCTTCCCTGGTCCAATGTAGGAATGTCTGATTCTCAGGCCATTCTTACTAGAGTGGTCAAAGACATGATGTGAGATCTTTGGCTTGCACACTGGTATGGCTCCTGCCAACATCCTGTTTCCTGGTTCTTGGCTAGTTTTCTTGGTGCAGTGGAGGAGGCATTGAGGATGGTAAAGCATTGTGAAAACTGCTAAAATTAGCCCCACATTATTTGTGGCTCTTTTCATTTCCCTACTTCCTTCATTTCGAATCTGGCATCATCTGCCTCGAACAGTGACCTGCCGCAGAGATGAGGCTGTGTGTGTTGGAACCCATCCTGCTGCCATAAGTAACCCTTGGAGCAGGGAACCCTCTTGTCACCTAAGAACAAGCCCAGGCTGGCCTTTAGAGCAGCCATTCTCAACCTGCGGGTCGAAACCCCTGGTGGTGGTGGCGGGGGTTGGGGGTGGGGGTGGGTTGTCAAACAATCCTTTTACAGGGCTCGAATATCAGATATTTACATTATGATTCATAACAGTAGCAAAATTACAGTTATGAAGTAGCAACGAAATAACTTTGTAATGGGGAGGGGTCACCACGGCACGAGGTGTCACAGTATGAGGAAGGTTGAGAACCTCTTGCTCTAAAGGAAGGAGAATCCTGGGTGAGGACTGGCTCCTGAGGTGCCTCAGCTCCCTCAACACTAAGCAAATGAGATAGCCTTTCCAGGAGAGTCAGACAGGGACCTGACCAGGGCACTCCCCTGAGCAGCCCCAGTGGCCTGGGTTTGGTTTAGCATCTTACAAACAATGGCTGCCTCATGGGAAAAAGCAGCCATGCCCTATGCTAACATCAACAGGGCCTCCTTCTCTTCCTTCCCATTAAAGGAACACTGCCTCCACTAATCCTTATCTGATGACAACAACTGATTTTTTGTCAGGAACTGCTTCGTCTGTCCTAAGGGGACAAGTTGAACCATGAACTCTGGAAGGTTTCTTTGGAAAAGGTGTGCTAGCTAAGAAAACACAAATGAACTCTCACCTACAGCCCACGGGTTGAAGGAGCTGCAAACCCAACGCTGCAGTGATGAGATACTCTGCAGAACCACCTGCAAAATAAGCAATGACGTTTCAAATCTGCCAACAGCAGAGAGCATGTGCTCTTGAGGCAGACTCTTCTCCCTCTCCACTTAGCTTTGAGCTTTATGGGTCTGAAGCCCCAGGAGCGGAGTAAAGAGAGGGGCATTGTATTCTATTTTCTGGGTCCCACATGCAGAAGCCTCAGATGAGTGGGAGAGAGAGACCAGGAAACACTGTGGAAGAGAGAGCAGAAAGATAGCAAAAACCAGAGAAATTTTTGTGAGAGTGAGTCTCCTGGGAATGTCAGAAACTACACCCATAAAGTCTCACCAACATGACTGCCTAAACATGAGCTGAACAAAGACAACAACAATAGGCATGTCAAAGTGGATGGAGAAAAGCACATGAAGCCTCAACCAATCTTGTTTTCTCTCTTCTGGGATGCCAACACCCCTCCTCACAGGCCTGTGTCCAGGTTTTAAGAACCCCATGCTTGTGGCTGGGTGGCGGTGGCACATGCCTTTAATCCCGGCACTTGGGAGGCAGAGCCAGGTGGATCTCTGTGAGTTCGAGGCTAACCTGGGCTACAGAGTGAGTTCCAGGAAAGGCACAAAGCTACACAGAGAAACCCTGTCTCGAACCCCTCCCCCAAAAAGAACCCCATGCTCTCTTCTCTGTCCTTCCAGTTCTAAAGCTGACTCCTGCATTTATACTATCTATTAAGTACTGTAAGTATTGTTGGCACTCCATGAATTCAGATGGTTGGGAAGCTTCTAGAAGCTGAGAGGTGATACCAGATAAACCATCATGCAGACAGCAGGTGCAAATTAAAAAAAAAAAAAAAGTAGGAAAGAAGGAAGGAGGCCAGAGCTTATAAAACTAGCTGCAGTACCAACATCTATCTGTATGTTCAGAGAGAAGGCATGTCTAAGAGAACATATGTAACAGGGCCCCAGACCTTAGTAGTGCCCCCGCCCAAACCTTAGCACAATTGACTCCATGATGGAAATACCATTCAGGCTGCAAAACTCAGCATGTAGACAGTACCACCTGCTAAAACTAAAGCAAAGGCCTAATCCACCCAAGTCCATAGTTCTGGGAAAGTCTCTAAATGTACTGACCTTGCTTTTTGGCTTCTGTAGTTCTGCTTCTGGCTAACTGTTCTTGTTAACTGAAGTATGTCAACCCAGAACAGGATTTTTTGTGCTTAAATGTTCATCCTGAGAAAGTCTTGAGGCTACACTGGGATCTCAAACACCTAGTGTGGTCACTGACTGGCTAATAAAGACTTTCTATCAGCTTAAACCCATGTCCAAGCAGTCAGTCTTCTCTGGTGCATACATAGCCCACAATAATTTTAAGGGTCTCTGCCTCAGGAGTACATACCAGCTTAGGTTATGACCCTGTCTGCTCCTTGATTTGCACATCTTAGGGATCACTGGTCCAGGAAAAGCTCCTCTCTTTCTAAAGTGAAAAACAAGTTAGGGTGAACTTAGAATACATTTTACTTGAGTGCATATGATAGGGAAATAGTAGCGCAAGAGTGTTAGTTATTCAAAGGATGGGAGCCATAGCACAGGGTGAGGAGGAAAAGTAGCCGGTTGAACCTGCAGCTGCAGCAGCCTCAAAAAAACAGGGAAGAACCAGATAGCAGATCAGGGAGAGTCTGTGTAGGTTGTTCAGATCATTAGACTGAGGTGACCAGGGTTGGAGTAATCTTTTACCTGTATTGCTTTCAAGAAACAAGTGTGAGAATTATCAAATCTCAATGAGGACCCAAGGAGAATTGCCAGCTTGAAGTCTTGGCCCTTTATCACAAGACAATTCAAGGCATCTATTTACGGGTAAATTGAAGAGTATGGATTGAAAATTTTTCACAACAAGCAATCAGCATCAATAGCACGCCCAACAGCACCAGCATCGCCTCACCATTTTAGAAAGGATAGGTCATAATAAAAAGCATGAACTTGTAGCAAACCCAAACCTGAATGCTACCTCCTGGATACATGATTAAGAACATCTAACTTAAAATAATACCTGTCATGCTTTCATTAATCACTGAAGACTAAAATAGGTCAGGGGCTGGGCTTGGGGCTCAGTGGCAGAGCACTTGCCTAGCATGTGTGGGCCTGGGGTTCCATCAGCACACAGCACCACAGAAAGGGAAGAAAGTGTTGGGGGAGATATATGGATCATTTACTCTCTTTGATAATGAAACAAGCCCAATAGTTCCACCAAACGAATTTACACACTACAAGCATGGCAGTATCGCTACAGAAATCATGTCTGTGAGGTGTCTTAGGTTCTTTGATTTGACCATCCCATATAGGATTTGCATTTTTATTATCTATCTAATGAAGTATTTCATGTTTCTTTCATTCTCAAAAATATATTAATTATATTTAACATTTCTTTTTTAAAGAAGCAAGTAGAGGAACACAAAAACTTTGAAGACTACAATTGCTGAAGTAAAGAACTTGAGCTTATGATGTGAGTATTAGATTGGGTTTTACCCAAGGAGGTTTCAGGAGCAGCTGATCAGATTAAACCTTCACTAGGTGCACAGGGAAGGAAGCATTTGAGAGACATACAATGACTGGAAATTCTTAAAACATGCATAGAAGAAAGCAAATCACTCACAAAGGACCTAAAGATAGTGGCCTTCTTACCAGTGCCCTTGGTATCCACAAGGCAGTAGAAAAATTTTAAATCAAAGGGAAGAGCTGATGGGGTCAGCTCAGAACCCAGAAGGGAGTTCTAGCTTCCATTGAGACACAGCAGTTCGACCGTGGCTTGTCTCCCCAGAACTCACAAAAATGTCTGATACTCAAAATCTCATGTTAATGGTATTGAGACGGCAGAAACTTAACTTGACTGTCCTTTTCAGCGATAGGTCTCTGGAAAGTGATTAGATCAGATCAAGTCATTGGGATGCAGCCCCCACAATGGAATCCTTGGATTCTGGTGGCTTTGTGGAAAGGAGAGAAACTCACAACCTAGCAGCACATGCTCCTGCATGATGCAAAACCGAGGGTTTCACAAAAACTCACAAATAGCATAGGCTATTTGGATCTTACACTTCCAGGATCACCCATTTAAGCAATCCCTATTCTTAACAAAGTAGTGTGTCTTTTGGTTTCATGATAGTAATTTTTTTTCAAGACTTATTTATATGCAGTGTTCTGCCTGCACACCAGGTGAGGGCACCAGATCTCATTACAGATGGTTGTGAGCCACCATGTGGTTGCTGGGAATTGAACTCAGGACCTCTGGAAGGACAGTCAGTGCTCTTAACCTCGGAGCCATTTCTCCAACCCTCGTGATAGTAATTTAAGAGCTGAGTAAAACAGGTGGAAAGGGAGAAGCCTGGAAAGAAGTGAGGAGATGAGGCGATGAAGGCTTAAGACTGTAGGTGAAATGCAGCCAGAAGAACATCCTGCAGGGAAGCAGACGAAGAGCACATAAGGGCCCGTAAATCACCAAGGTTTAGTTACTAGCAATTCACACTGCTAGACTGCAGACCACTCTCCCACACTCTTCCCAGCCTTGAAACCTGACAGCAAAGTTCTTTCGTCTTTTGAATGTGTGTTTGTGGGGGTGGGTGGGTGGGGTGTCCCTTGTTGTAAGATAGATTCATCTCTTTTTCCAACATTGTCTGTAAAGTTTGGTAACCACTTTAGATTTTGGAGGCTCTCTCTTCTAACTATCTAGCTTTGGCATTGTAGCATGAAAGCAGCCAGAGATAATGTGTATATGAACAGACATGCATGGCTATGTATCAGTGATATGGTATTTAAAGTTATTGAGTGGGGTTTGGCTCACAAGCCTATTACCCTTTCCTCGTCTAAGCAAGCATTTGCCAAAGAAGATTACAGTCTCTTGCGTTAGGAAGTGCAGTGAACGTCTATGGGACAACTGAGTCTCCACAATATGGTCTGAACTTCCCATGTATGGGCAAGTCTCTCCTGAAGTGTCTTACAGATTCTGTGATTTCTCAAGGTGGAGTTTAGCTCTAGGGTGCTGCTTTGGACATCCTGCCTCTGTTCTGGGACTTTGCTATAGTCTGATTTCTGTTCACAAGCCATTCAGTGATTCATGCCCATACTGAGTCACTTTCACTAACTACATTGTCAAGTATGTGAGTTTGCTGTGTATGTTATTAGGGAGTACTGTGAGCTGGTTTCTTTGGACAATAGAAATGTATTTCCCCATGGTTTCAGAAGGGGAAAGTCAAGGTGTCCGGAGGATCCGTTTCTCTTGGGGTCCTTCACTCTGGCATAGAGAGAGCTGTCCTCTTCCTGTGCCTTCATGTGGTTGTCCCCTAGGCATGTGTTTGTATTAGACTTTTCTTATAAGAACAACAGACATATTGTACTGGAGATCACCTAATTAATCCATTTTAATTTAATTTTTGTGCTCCCACACACACACCCAACTTGACACCAAATAGAATCATCTAGAAAGAAGGTTCCTCAGCTGTGAAAACACCTCCCTCAGAGTGGCCTATAGGTAAGTCTGTGGGAGCATTCTTTTGATCAATGATTAATGTGGTAGGGTTGAGACCACTGTGGATGGTGCCATCCATGGGCAGGCTGGTTGTATAAAAGAGTCAGCTGAGTAATTCAACGGTAAGCAAGCCAGTAAGCAGGGTTCCCCTGTGGACTTTATTTGAGTTACTGCCTCCAGGTTTCTGCCTTTAATACCTGTGTAACTTCTCTTCTTGACTGACTACAAGCTGTAAGCTGAAACAGAACCCTTCCCTCCCCAAGGTGTTTTGTTTGGTCATGATATTTTCTCACAGCAATGGATAGCAAACTAGTACAGTTATCAACGTAAAGAACTTGTCTCCCAATGCAATCACAGTTGGAAGTGCTGGGACTTAGAGAGGTCACTGTATTTTCAATGTGAATTGGAGAGGAACACAGTTCAGCCCATCACTGCGCACACTTTTATAAACAGTTTATAGACACGGGTCACTGTCTATTTACATAGCAAAACTTTACGTTGCTCATTAGCCATTTCCTTTGTTAAAAGCCTTTTTGTATCAGGCTTGCGTCTGTCATCCCAGTGCACTAGAGGCTGAAACAGGAGGATTGTTAATTTGAGATCATGCGGGGCTCTATGACTCAAAAGATAAGTAAATAAAAACAGAACCATCATTCCCCTGTGAGCTTTAATCATTTTCTATATTCCAAGTAATATCCAGGTTTCAGTGTCTTACCATCATTCCCTTCTCACACCTTTTCCTCCTTTCTTCTAGGTGAACCAGGTGGTCACTTAATCATCAAGCCTGTTTGTGCAAGTTTATTTAACGAAAGACCTCTAATGGAAACTCTGGGCCCAGAGCTTGGAGAATGTTCCAGGCCAGCAATCTTCTAGCACATCACCTCACATTGGTGCTAGAAGACTAATGCCTTCTGACCTCTGTCAAGGAAAAACACAACCCTTTCTCCAAAGAGAGTACCATGTCACTGTGTCCTCTGAATTGAAACATCCTGGAGGGAGGAAGGATGCTGGTAAGATCCAGGAAGTGAAGTGAACTTGTAAGACTTTTGAAGCTCAGAAAATGATGAGACTAGAAGGCTCTTCCTTTAGCTTATAGAAGCAGTAATCAGGAAAACTGCTGGTGAAGAGGAGACACTTTTGGAGAACCACCTGCAAGTTGAGCAGGGAGCTCCCGGCATACAGATTTTTATGAATCATCGCCCACACTAGGGTGAGGTTTTACAGTCTTGTGGCCCCCAGGGATTCACCAAGCTCCTGTAACTCCTCATCTATGTTCCCATAAATAACTCCAAAGAAACCCGTTGTCTCACCAAGCTAGGCTTGTGTGGAATTTGGTCTGTTCACACTCTATCTGGGGGACCGGTGTTCATGCATGTCTTCCCAGGAAGAGTTTTGCAACAGAAAATAAAAACAAGGTCTAAAGGGTCATGACTTGGAAACAAGGGTAGAGGTTGATCTGAATGGCATGTATGTTCCAGTTGTGGAAGAGATAACATGGTTTCTAGTAGTCCCCAAACAAAAGGAAGTTAATAAACAATTATATTTACCAAAGTGTTGGTGAAAATATTCTATAGGTTTCTATTCTATAGGTTGTCCATGCTGTCTTGTAAAATTCTTAGCTCTGGGTCTATGAAAACATATACTGCTAAGTTAAAATTTTTTCCAGGCTTTTACCTAATAGTCACAAAGATGCTAGGTATCATGCCTAAGTTAGTAATGAATGGCTATGAAGGGAAAGCAAGATTTTTTTTCTCAATCTGCAACATTCCATCTCTCCCTAATCACTGCCAGTCTGTAGAATCTTCAACACAGATGTGGCCTTGTCAGGGAATTTTGGTTCACATCACAGAGAAGTCGACAGAATGGCTGCGATTTGTGCTCTTTCCATCTCAACTTGGTGTGCTTCTGTGGCCAATTCTTGTTCGCATCCTTCCCCATGATAAACTGTGCTCTATGAGCTTTCTAGCAAATATTAAACCTCACATTGGTTTCAAGAACCCCCTAAATTTGCCATTGGTGTTGAGTGAAGGAAATTTTGTGTGAACTGAACATCTCTCTGTGTCATGACACTCCTGTTTCTTTCAGGCCTATCTTAGAAAGAATTAGCTACAAATTCTTAAAAAAAAAATAAACAAAATAATGAGATCTACTTTTGGAAAGTGAAATACAGCATCTTAGGTTCATCATATGCCTTTAAATCTATAAATAGCATCATTAGTTGCTGTGGAACCAGCTACACACTGTTAAGCAAAGGAAAACTAATAAGTAGCCAGAAACCAAAGCTGGCTCATTCACAAAGTCAATAAAGCTGATAAACTTGGGACTGGATTGAGCTGAACAAAACTGCAGAAGGCATAATATATATATTCAACATAAAGGCTTAGTAAACTTAGCAGGGAAAGACGATTGCTGTGGCTGAAGTGTGGCACGTCCCCCATAGGCTCCCGTGTGTAAACACTTGGCCCACAAACAGTGGTGCTGTTTTAGAAGGTTGTGACACCTTCCAGAAGTGTGACCTTACTGAAGGAAGTTGGTCATTAGGGGTGAGCCTTGACATAGGATGCCCCGAATCCACCTCCTGTCTATGTCCAGGACAGGACTGACTCATACGTCCATTTAGGACTTCTTGACAGCGGGCATATCTGATCAGCTGTGTTGTGCATGTTTCGGCCACTGAGTTCTGAACTGTCAAACTGAAAGCCAGAATAAAGCTTCTTTCCTTATGGTGCTTTTGTTGATATTTTGTCAGGGCAACTAGAAAAGCGCGTGTGCGTGCACACACACACACACACACAAATACAAGCACACACACACACACAAGCACACACAAAGTTTCAGGAGTGGGTGGTTGCTGTGCTAAACCTGACCATGTGGTGCTTAATAAGACTTTGGAATGGGTTTGTGGGAGGAATGTGGCTTTGGAATTTTGGGGCTAGGAAATCCCTAGAATACTTGAACAGAACTTAGCGCTTCTGGTGGAAGTTAAAAAGACCAGATTGCTGAGAGAACTGTGGCTCGTGGGAGGCCATCTCAGCATTTCAGAGGGGAATGGGGACTCTGGAGAACTGGGGCTAGAGATCCTTCATGTTATATTCTGGTAAACGAATTTGGCTGCATTCTGCCTGTGTTCTGAGAATTTGAACGAGAATGAATTTAAAGGCAATGGACTAATGTATTTGGCAGGGGAAATCTCAAAATAGGATGCAGTTCAGGTTGTGGCACTGTTCCTCTATCAAGGTCTAAGAGCAACAGTTGAAACTGAAAAATATGAAAATGTTCAGTCTGGTGGAGAAAGGAATTGGTTTAAAGTTTTAGACAGAGTGAGTTCTGGGAAAACAGCTATAGTTGTTAAAGTGATAAGCACTATTAGAAAGAAATAGTGTGTCCAGTACTGGACAATAGAAAAAGTGTCAAAGGGCAAGACCTCACTCGTTCAAAGCTCCATCTTGTGTAAATGCAAATTAATTAGGAAAGAAAGCACCAAGACCAAGATGTCACTGAAGAGATTCCCTGCTCGAAAAACACCACCTAGGAAACTAATTCTCAGGGTCAGCACACAGAGGGTGGTGCAAGTGTGATCCAAGCAACTGAATCTCAAGCTAGTAGCAGAACTTGGCAACACTGCCCATATTGTTTCACATGAAAGATACAAGCAATGGGGATCACAAAGGTTTGTATCAAGGTCTCTGAGGGTTTCTGAGGCCAGACAATATATGTCAGGGTCAGAGTTCCTGCAAGGGGGCCCCAAGAAACCACTGTGTGAAACTGTAAAGATTAAGTGCAAGTTACAGTGGAGATATCATGATGATGGAGATGCCAGGACTGTGGAACATCATCTGATAAAGAAAGCTGCAGGTGTGAAATGAATCCTGCCAAGTGGAGAAGTTGTGTTCTGCAGGGGAGAGAGGTTTAGGAACGGGACTTCTGAAGCCCTTTGGAGCCCACATAGTTCTATTACAAGGTTTATATGCCTGACAAGGAGTTGAAGAATATGGTGTTTGCCCTGTTGCGTTTCATTCCTGAGTTGTCCTGATCCTTCCTTGCTCTGCCCCTATTCCTCCCTTTTAGAACAGGAATGTTTACTCTGTGCTATTATATGTGGCAAGTATGTAGCTTTATTATTTATTTACTTATTTTGCATTTTTGTTTTTTACTTTTAATTTATTGATTGCTTATATGTGTGAGCATGTGTGTGAGTATGTATGTAACTTGTTTTTAAAAACATTCTTGCACAGGTTCATATTTAAAATATTGCCTTGACTCTCAAAAGAAACTGGACTTTTGTTAGACTATTGGAATTTTTTTATATTGGAGTGAATGCTTTTTCATTATGAAATAGGCTGAGCTATGGGGCATCAAGGCTAGAATGCTGTGTTTTGGATGTGAAATGGTCCCTTGAGGATTATGTGTTAAAACACATAGTCCCCAATTGATGATGACACTGTTTGAAAAGTTGTAAAACCGAAGCTTTGCTGGAGGAAGTGGATCACTAGGGGTGGGACTTTTATAGCCCCGCCCCATTTCCTGTTTGCTCAATGCTGCTTTCTATCTGTGAACTCCTTGTCTCCAGCTGCCTCCTGCTTCTGCTGCTCTGACTTTGATCCTCAAACTGACCCAGACTGAACCCTCCTTCCCTAACATTCTTTTGCCAGTATTTCATCACAGCAAGGAGAAAATTAACTGCGGCAAAAATCTTTTCACAAAGTAGTGCTAGAAAGATCCGTTTGCCGTATGCAAGTGCCATTTTAATCTGAACTTCGTGCCTTGTAAAAAATAATTTGAAATGGATCGTGTACCTAAAGGCAAAATCAAAAATTGAAATGTATTCAGAATAAAATATAAGATAAAAACCATA